CACCGCGTCCGCCGGGCCGACGAGCACGCGGAGGAGCTGCGGGTGAGCGGGCGGGGCCGCGGGCGGCAGGGCTCCGGCGGCGAGGACGGGAGGTACCGGGCTCTCCAGTGGCTTCGCCTGTAGAACCAGGCGGTGAAAGGTGTGGCCGAATCAAGTCGACCCAAGTTCGAATCCCACCCTTGCCCGCCTCCCCTGTGAGTCATAGTAACTCCCTGAGCCTCGATGTCTTCATCTGTAGTTTGGGGGCAGGAATCGTAGCTCGTGTTTATTATAGTTAACCTCTGATAAAACTGGATCCCAGCTGGGTGTGGTGCCACACGTTGTAATCCTGGCTGCTGGGAGGCTCGGGCAGGAAGATCAGGAGTTCCAGGTCAATCTGGGGTATAGGCTGCCTGGGACAGAGAGACCCTGCCTGAAGAGAGGGAAGTGGGAGAGGAAGGGAGGGAGACACACACAAACCTGTCCCTCTTCACCTTTCCACCCAGAGCTGCCACCCCTATCCTCAGGTGTCAGGTGAGGTGATCTGTTTCGCTTCCAGGATTGGCCTTGACTGTACTTCAAGCCGGTTTCACCTGGATAACAGAGGGAATGGGAGCAAACTTGTCCCTAAGGTTCTTCTCACCTCCACTCTCAGCTTGGCTGCAAGTCACTTTCCTTTCCCCCCCCCACCCCCAGTTTGGACAGTCAAGTCACCTAGGAACTTTCTTCCACCCTCCACCCTAGCCGAGGTCCTGGGGGTTTCCTTGCAGTTGGATGAACTGGCTTCTTTCTCCCACCCCCACCCTGGAGTTCAGCCCTGTTGTGCACCTGTGCCCTCTCTGGGGACTTCACTGAATCAGACTGGACTGGAACGTAAACACCTTACACCTTACAAGGTGCTGGGGCCACAAGGGGTTCAGTTATTCAGTGCATCCCAAGCTTCTGGTTGGTCCTACCGGTCAACAAGAGTGATGATGAATATAAACTTGGAGAGTGTTGATAATCAGCTTGCATGATGGGTAGGAACTTAGCAAATGTCAAAGTACTTAAATATGTGTCATCTCATTCATCTTGATTTCAGACCTGGAAACCAAGGCCCAGAGCAGGGCAGTAACTCCTACAGGGTTCCTAAAATTCAGAGGCTGAGGGGAGAGGGGTGATTCATTGACTAAGCAAGAGGAAGCCACCGCTTTATGCTTTGGTGGTTAGGGGGAGGAAGTGACGCTAGTGGAAAACTTTAAAAAGTACCCACCGGGGCCTGAGTGACAGAAGAGGTGAAGGCTGGAGAGGGTGGTAGCAGACCTGGTGCTTACTTTGGACTGCACTCTGCCTTGAGTGTCCATCTCCTTTGCTTGAAGGGAGGTCAGTCTTGTCCTCACTTTTTCCAATTTAAATAATATCCTCCTCCCCTGCCTTGGCCTCTGGGATCAAACTGAGAGCCTCAGGCTCTCTCTAAACTACATCCCCAGCCCTAGATCAGATGGTGTCTTTAGCACAGTCACTTCCCTAGCCCTCAGCCAGCAAAGAAATTGCACCCCAGGGCAAGATGGTTACTGAACGGCGCAAACCCCAGCACCAGTTGAACTGTTCTCTCACTTTCTGGATCTACCCTGTAACTTTTCAGAAGCTGCGTTCAGTTCTCTCAGTGGCTGGGTGCATGGAGATGACAGCTTCTGTGTAGTCAACTCAGTTTTGTAACTTTGCATTTGGACCTGTGAAGTGTAAGACTAATTCCATCTTGTGGGCGGAAGGATTTACAAAGGGTTCCTGGGCACGGTAGATGGACTGCCTTGTGGTAGATGGATCTGAGGCAAAGTCTTAGGAGAAATAGTGGAGGGACCATCGGTTGGAAGGGCTCCAGCTACTACTGGAGAAATGGAGTGGAGAAGCAGAGGGCCTCGCCGTATCTCCTGAAGCAAGTCACTTCTCTGTGGCCTTGGCTTTCTCATTTCTAAAACTCTCCTGTCTCCCTGGGTGATACTAGTAGCTATGGAAACTGTGAATTGCTGCCCCTCTGTGGTCAAGGCAGTGGATGTTCATTCAACAAATATTTATGGAGGGCCCTTTATTTGCAGGAACTCAGAGAACAGGTCAAATATATGGTACTTCTGTTCCTGGCATAAGGGGACAGATACACAAAAGAGTAAACACATAACATGTTGTCTTAGAGTTGTAAGTACAAGGGAGAAGAAGAAAGCACAATAAAAGATAAACGGGAGCTGAGCATGGTAGCACATGCTTGTAATTCTCAGCTGGGAGGCTGAGGCAAGAAGATTGCAAATTCGAGCCAAGCCCAATAATTTAGTGAGACTGTTTCAAAATAGGAAGAGGCTGGGAATGTAGTCATGCACAGGCCCTGGGTTCAATCCCTAGTACCACCAAAAAACTAAAATAAAAAATGAAATAAAAGATGAGGGGGAAAGTCAGCGAAGACCTCTCTGAAGTGACATCTGGACAGATTAAAGGACCAACAAGCACACACATGCACACACACATGAGACTACTGCTAGAGAAAGAATGGGTGCAAAGGCACGGAGATCAGGACAGTTTGGTGTTTTTAAGGGCTAGAAGGAAGGTCAGGGTGGAGAGTGGTGAGTTGTGACACTGGACACACGAACAACCACATCGGGTAGGGCCTTGTTGGCTAGAAGCATGACCTGCTCTGAGTGTGCTGGAAAGCCGCTGGAGGACCTTTGGCAGGGCACATCCTCTCCTGATTTCCTTCTAAAGGGTGGCTAATAGGGAGCAGGGGAAGGCTGAGAATAGAAGCCCAGTTTGGAGGCTGTAACAGGATTCCTGTGAGAAATGATGGCCATCAGGGTATCTTGGTAGAATAATGGGAAGGGAGGTGACCGGAAGTGGGCAGGTGAGAAACTTTGGATTCTATGATGGGTTAGATGCAGGATTGAAGAGAAACTCCTGGAGTTTGGTCTGAGTAACAAATTGGTGTCTGATGATGCCGTCTTGTGAACAGTGACAACCCGGGGGAGAGCAGCTTGAGCTGCCGCGTTCTGCTCAGAAGCAGGGATGGAGAGTCAGGGAGCCAGGTATGAAGGAAAGTCAAGAGCATGTGCAGGGAAGTGGTTATAATGACTGGCCAGGGGGCTTGAGGATAAAGAGGGAAGTGAGGCCACAGTCGGGAATATGGGCAGTAAAAAGTGGTAAGGTTATTGTGTTGGTGGCCCCAGCGGAACTATTGAAATGGGAACTCTGGAGTTAGGGAGTTAGAAGGATGGGACATAGTGGGCAGAGTACAGGCCCCTTGACATGCAAATTTTGGAGGCAGTATCATTTTTGATAGTGGTGAGGTCTTGGACAAGAGGGGAAAATCGTTGGAATGAAGAGTGGCTTATATGCATGGATAAAGGTGCCATGGGCAGTGTTTGTGTTGCAGAACAAGATTGTGGACCAGTGTGAAAGGCTGCAGTTACAGAGTGCTGGCATCACCAAGTATGTGGCTGAGGTCCTACTGGGGAAGAGCCAACGAGCAGTGGTAATTCTTCCGCTTTCCTCTGTATGCTGTGTTCCTCCTGGGTAAGACCCTAGCCCTAGGGACTCATTGCCCAAGTCTAGAGTTCCCGTTTCAACCTAACAGCCTCACTGTGCTACTAGCAAAGCTGGATGTCCAGGAAGGGTGATTTCCCATCTCTCTGAGCCTTAATTCTACCATCTGGACAGAGTGGGCTTGTTCCTATTACCTCATTGGGTGCAAAGACTCTGCTAGATGACTTTTGTAGGTATCTTGGGATAGAGGATCCAGAAATGTAGCATTATTTTACCATCTAGTTATTTTGGACTCAGTCCCAGAATTATAAAACTACTTAGGGACTTACAGAGTATTCTTTATGACAATTTTATGCAGTAGATGGCAGCAGATCCCTATTTGCAAATGGAGAAATGGGTCTTGTGATGGTTCATTGACTTGCCCAAGGTCGCACTGCCTCCTGGCAGTGTCAGTTCTGTGTCATGGATCTTCTAAGCCCCAGGCCAGTATTCCTTTTTCTTTATCCCACTTGGGTCCTTTATTCAGTGGACTCATTGCTGTTTCACTCTTAAGCATGCCCTTCAGGACAGAGGCTATGCACGTTTCTTGCCTCCTGCTTCCATAGTACATGGAGCAGGCTTTGGCACTGCCTTAATCCAGCTCTTTTAATTGCACAGAACAGAATCCCAGTTGAACTTGCATAAACAAACCAGAGAATTTCCTCTCGATACAGAGGTATCTTAGAACCTACAGAGAACTAGAGTCGGGAACTAGAAAGCTGCTAGGTATCAGACACATTCATGTTTGCTTTAGTTTGCATGATTATTTCTCCCCTGCTTTCTCTCCCCTTATCATTTTATTTTCTTATCTTACTACATTGGCACTTATTGCATCTCAATATGTGGTTGGTTAGATGCTACAGTAGCAGACCCTGACTTTAAGGGAGAAGCTTCCAACATTTCACCATTTATTTATTTAACAAATCCTTACTGGGCACCTACCATGTTCCAGGCACTGTTGTCCTAGGTGCTAGGCATTCCACAGTGGAGAAGTCATATGAAAATTCCTGTTTTCACAAAGCATACATTCTTGTCATATAAAATATATGCTTTGTCAGAAGGTGACACGAGCTATGGGGAAATATAAAACAGGAAATAAGACAGCATGTATTGAGGATAGGGATTGCAATCCCATTTGCTCTGATCAGGAATGACCTCGTTTAGAAGGTTGATACTTGCACAAAAACCTAGGAAGTGGCAGAGTAGCCCACACATGTGAGGGAAGAGTTTTCTAGAAGGAGGGAATGGCAAGTGCAAAAGCACCAGGTGGGAGTGTACCTGGCTTGTGGAAAGAGTGGCAAGGAAGCCTGTGAGACCAAGCAGAGCGTATGGATGAGATGGCAGAGGATGAGTGGGAGAGGCAGCGGGCAAAGCGGAGCTGGATCATGACCTCATTGGCCATGTAAAGATTTTGCCTTTCTCTTTGGTTCTGATGGGAGGCCATTTGAAATTTGTGAGCAGAGGGGCTGGGGATTTAGCTCAGCAGCACAACGCCTGCCTGGCAAGCGCTAGGTCGTGTGTTCGATTCCCGGTACCAGAAAAAAGACGTACTGAAATTTGTGAGCAGAGTAAGATGACATGATTTAAGATTAAAAAGGAACACACTGGCTGCTGTGTTGGGAAGTGACTACAGACAGCAGGGTAAAAGGCAGGGAGACCCATTAAGAAGGTGATATAGCCCAGGTGGGAGATGACAGTGGTTTGGACCCAAGCGGGTTCACTTGTCATTTGTTTAGCCTCCTTTAAGTCTCTCCATCATGTGGGTCTTAGTTTCTTCTGTGAAACAGAGATGAATGCTCCCTGCACTGTGCAAAGCAGGTGTTTGGGGACAAGGCTCAGGGAAAGTGGTTGGTTCTCTCTGACTCCGACCTGAAGAGGCAGCTTTGCTGTTACTTGCTGGGCAAAAGTACGAGGGCAAGTGCTTATGCAAAAGATGCCTTTGGGGAGGACTGGTTACCAGGTGGTATCTGCTGTAAGGGAACAGTGTTAGGCTGAGAGTCAAGAGAACTGGGTTCTGGTCCCATCCCTACCACTGACGTGCTTTGTCAGTGCTTCCAAGAGATTTTTTAGTAGACCAGGAAAAAATTTCCCATTCAGTCACGCAGTTGCTATCTGGGATATCTATACACATGCCATAGGAGTTAGAAAAACATGCTCATTGCCTTCACTGGCTGAGAATTATTTCAGGCCCTCTCTGTGGCAGATAAAAGTTCTAACACAGAATTTGTTGGAGCAGATAGCCTTAGGAAGTAATGGGTTTTTGTCCTTAGATGCGGGGAAATAGCAACCAGAACACTATTGTTTTGGAGATGGTTAATAGGGATGACTTTTTAGGCCTTTCTGTTCTTCAGTTTCTAAAATTCTCTGACCCTGATCCCTTGGCCTAAGTATTTCTAAATGTGAAGAAATCAGGTGATTGTAGTTGATCACTAAGCCCTACTTAACTCCTCTATATTGTGATCTTGGCCTCCTGAGATCTAGCCTGGCTGTCTGGATCTCAAAATTCTTTACTGTAAACCATATTTGGGAAGTCTCACTGTTGGTCTGTCAAAGTAAATGGTGTAAATACTGTTATTCTCCTTACTATTCCCATCACAGACGTTGCCATTCAACTTTGGTATTCCTTCCTGCTGAGCCCAAACCCTCCTAATCCTGACCGGGGCTTTGCCAGAACCCAACTCCTCATTTCATCCCTTGTCAGAGCACGGCCAGCGCGGCGAGGGAACTGGTTATCCAGCGACTGAGTGTGGTGAGGAGTCTTTGCGAAAGCGAGGAGCAGCGGTTGCTGGAACAGGTGCACGGTGAAGAGGAGCGAGCCCACCAGAGCATCCTGACACAGCGGGCACACTGGGCCGAAGCACTGCAGAAGCTCAACAGCATTCGCACCAGCCTGGTGGACATGCTCACCCATCTGGATGACCACCAGCTGATTGTAAGTTGGGCCAGGCTGAGGCTGTGGCCAGTGGCCAGACCCCAGATTAGAAAACATTGAAAATGTGTCTCCGTAGGAAGTGAGAATTTGGAGCAGGGATGAGTGACAATGCTCCTTTGCTTGATCTGCCTTCTGAACCTTCTCCTGGGCCCTTCTGTTTACTTCTTTTTTTTTTCTGGTACCAGGAATCGAGCTCAGGACCTTGCACTTGCCAGGCATGCTCTGTGCTGCTGAGCTATATCCCTAGCCGTACTTCCTTGTAAAGAACAAAAGAACTCTACCAAGTCTGTTTAGCAGACCCCCTTTGTGTTCCATATCTGCTTACTCTTGATATCTGATTGGGTTCTTCCTCTGCTGCCATCCCCCAGGTGGCATCCGGGGAATCAGCCCAGCCTGTCAACAGCAAGAATCCTGTTAGGTTAGTTTAGCCAGAGCCCCCCTGACCCCTGACGCTTCCTCTTAGTAGTTTTCCATCTGCTTACTGCGTGGCTTTAAATTCCTACTTGCACTTGCCCTCTTTGGAGTTCAGCCCGATCTCTTCCCTGTGGCGGTGGTCCCTATACCTATCGCAAGGGCCCTGAGTGAATTCTTCCGTACTGTGCTTTAGTAAGTACCATTGAATACTTTCTTCTTTCACATGAGGCAAGGGGAATCAAATTATGAGGGTTTTTTTCATGGCAACTGATAGCAATACCTTTTAATAGTAAGCTCCTTATCGAGTACCTGTGAAATGCTAAGCATTGTATTATGGGGCAGAGTTACAGCTAGCAGCTGCTAGCTGCTCCCAGCCTTATGAAGGAGATGAATACATAGAACTGACTGGGGGTAAGGAAGAATATGAGCCTTGGTAGAGGAAATCACTCAGAACTAGAGACCCCACAATCCAGGCTGGGGAGGGGTTCAGGAAAGACTTCCGGGATGAAGTGACTTGGAGGTGATAAGAAAGTACCCGTGTCCAAGGAATTCAGCAGTGCACAAGGAGAACAGTGTGTTTGAGGGAGCCAATAAGGGCTCCAGTATGAAAACACGGAGCTCATTCTTAACGCTACCACAAGTTACCATGATTAAAATTTGGTACATAGCCCATGTAGATGTAGATGTCGATTTGCAGATGCCTCCAGTTTTGAGGGAACAGTGTGCCATCTGAATAAAAACTGCCAGGCAGAGACAGAAGAATGTAGAACAACTGAGCTGTCTCATTGCACTTGCAAGTAGGCCAGTTCCTGTGACTGCTCTTGATTGTGCATTCATTCAGTCACCCCGCTTCCATGCACAGGACACATTCTGTCTCAGACACTGGGACAGTCACAATAGAAGATTCAGAATGTCTCAGCCACTCAGGAGCTGACATTTCCTGGGAGATGTGTTCAGTAAATGGCTGATGGTCCTGAAGGGAGGTGAGGGGAACCCAGGGCGCTGTGGGGCAGGAGCCACAGAGTGGCTCTTTCTGAGCATGTGCCACAACGATATGAAAACAGCCAGTAAATCTTGGCCCTGTGGCCTAAGGAAGGAGGACGAGCTTTTACTCTAGACCCTTCAGTTAAATATGTTCAAGTCTTGACAGCCTGTAGGTTTCTGGTGCAACACCTGACTTCATTTTGTTTTCTTGCAGGAGAAAGAGCAGGAGATTTTTGAGAGGTAAGTATGGCTCTGGGATTTGCTTGGGCAGTCACGGGGACCCTTGGCCTCTCCCCATCCCACCCGCTTCAGGCCCTGCTGCTCCTGGGAGAAAGCACAGGGCTCTTTCTGCTCCTGTGCTTTAGCACCACTGCTTTGGGCCCACATGGAAGGGCAGTGAAGATACTGTTAATCAGAGCCTTGCCACCACGGGCTCACACATTGTCCTATATCAGAAAGAGATCACCCTATCCAAGAGTTTTACTGCCCTCATCTACAGGCAGAAGTACTAAAGCTCAGAAAGGGAAAGGAACTTGTTTTAGCCCCAGAGCTGGGACTTGGAGTCACCTGTTCTAGTGCAGTCTCCTCTACCCGCTTTCTCTCATGAAAGAATCTTTGAAATGTAAGTCTGCATTGTTACTCACATTTTGCATTTTATTACTCAATACTAAAAAAATTTCACAAAGTCCTACCTTGGGTTCTGAAGGCCTGAGAGGTAAGACCTAAGGAAGAGGCCAAGAAGATGTAAATTATCAGGCAAAATAATTAACTCATCAGCCTGGGGGTGCAGCTCAGCAGTAGAGCAATTGCCTTGTATGTGCAGGAAGCGGGGTTTGCTCCTGAGAGAGAGGGAGAGAGAGATAAAGTGAGGTTCTATCAGTCCTTCCCAATTCTATTCACTAGAAGTAATAATAGATGTGGGTTTTTTGGATCTTCTTATTTAAGCATAGAGTATGTGGGGTGTTTTGTTTGCTGATTTTATTTGTTTGTTCTTTGAAATAGCATCTCACAATATAGCCCAGGCTGGCCTCAAACTCATGGCAGTCCTGCTGCCTCAGCCTCCTGAGCACTGGGATTACAGGTTTGCACCACCATGGCTGGCTTGTTTGCTGATCTTTTTGCCTTTCTAAACAATATTTTTTCAAAACAATATTTTTAAACAATATTTTTTATACCTGTTGTTCTGCTGCTTAATAGGTTAACTTGGAAATCTTTCCATATTATTGCATACAGATTTATCTTACTTTTTTTAAAGCCTGTGAAGTATTATTCCATAGTTGGATATATCCACGTTTATTTTACCTTCTGTCTCTCTCTGTGGGAGGGAGTGTGCGCCTGAGATAGAATGAAGGCCTCACATGTTCTAGGCTAGTGTTGCAGCACTGAGCTGTATCTCAGTCTCTAGTGTCTCCTTTTAATATAGGCTTGACCCATCCCCATTTCTCCCCTCTTAGTCTTTCCACACTGCTGCCAGTCTTCTCCTCCTACTTTATCTTCATCATCTTCCTTTAATCCAGTCTGTCCTCAGTATAAAGCAGATCTGAGTTTTGAAAAGAATTTTGATCTCTATTAATTTTTTATTTTGAAATATTTCAAACTTACAGAAAAGCTGCAAGAGTAGTATAATAAGCTTCACCTAGAATTGTCAGTTGTTACCATTTTGCCTCTTTAGATCTTGTTCAGTCTCTCTTTCCTATCTAGGTGAAGCTTATTATACTTCTTCCTATCCTGTTACCTCATGATTAGAACCAGTACATTTTGGGGAAGAATATCTCTTAAGTTATGAGTCCTCAGCCCATCATATCAGGGGCCATATAATGTCACTTGGGCAATGTCCCATCATCAGACATGTTAATTTTAAGCACTTAGATAACGTTGTATCTAATGGTGGTGTTTATCATGTTTCCTCACTATATAGTTATATTTTCCTTTGCACAATTAATAAGAGAAATGTGAGGAGATATTTTCTGTGTATATCTTGTTTCCTTTCTATTTTACCCAATAGTGTTGCATCCATTGATAATTCTTGCCTAGATATTTATTGGGTTGTTTGTTCATTCACTTATTTAGTGTCAATAGCTTCATGAGTTTATATTTTATTCAATGCATTATATTACTACTACTGCCATTTTTTATTTTAATGTACAAATTATCCCATGTTGCCCAGTTAGAGCCCTTTGAGATGGATCCTATGCCTTTTTGACAAGTCCTCATTATCCTTTGAACACTTTCTTGTTCTGTGGCACGGGAATATATCCCAGGCTCAACTTACTCCTTTTCTGTTCCAGCTCTGGATTCAGCTCCAGAGGTCTTGGTTTCTTTGAGTAGGGAAAGATGTCTAGAAGCCAAGATCTGGGCAGTAAGTATACTCATTGCTACTGATATGTCATTGCTACTGGGTCTGTTCAAGGGGCAACAATTAGAGTTGGATGTGTATATATTTTTTTTGTTGTTTTTTTGAGACAGGGTCTTGCTAGGCAGTTCAGGCTGGCCTTGAGCTCATTTTATAGGCTGGCCTTGAGCTCATTTTATAGGCTAGCCTCAAACTCATAACAATCCTCCTCAGCCTCCCGAATGCTGGAATTACAGGCGTGTGCCTCCACACGTGGCTGGATGTGTATAATTGCATGAGTTTGTATCACAACTTTGAATTCTATTCTAGCACTACAGCGTTTTTCCTTTTTCCTGCCCCTATTCTGTGTTTGTATCTTTCTTCTTTCATCATGAGAATGCTGGTTCCCAACAACACCAAAATATTTATCCATTTGCTCAGTCCTACAACACATACAAAGTTGTTCAAAAACTGCTAAGCCCATTCTACGACTGACAAACCTACTAGTAGAGTTTAAGACCTCTCTGCAAGCCTTCGTGACCCTAGGCTGACAGTGTGTACTCTCATTTGACTGAGAAGTGCCTTTGATGGCTCTGGTTTCCACATCCGTGGCTGAGCTCACTCTCGCCTGACAGTGACAATAGGTCCCATGCATGGACTGAGCATTCAGCTACAAGTTAGGGCCCTCCTGTGGAGCCCTACCTCACTTCCATCCCACTGAGGCTATGAGTTTTCTCCTCTGTACCATGTGGTTCTCTATGGACTCTACTGTCCATACCTGGTCTCAGATCTGTCCTAGGATGACAGCTTAGCCCTGCTAGTGCTGGCGCTTTCCTCCCCACCTATTGGAAGCTGGGGCTTCTCCAGAAGGAGTTGCCATGCTCTGGGAACATGGCAACAGACCCTCTGTTGTCCTGACCACAAAAAAGACTTTGTTACCAGAGTCTACTGTCAGTATTTCAAGGCCCTGTCCACCTTGCTCCTCCCAGGCAAGGCAGTCAATGGCAGTCTTGCAAAGATTGAATCTATCCGGGGGAGAGAGGGTTGCTGAATGACCTCAGAATTGGCTTCGTGGTTAGAGGTGATGGGAAAGTTCTTTCTGAGAACCCAGATCAGAGGGTCACAAAGCTTTGTGATATCCCCTTTGCTCTATACTAGTGGTGGCAAAGCTATGGCACTCACGCTGCAATGGGCTGTTCGGATCATGGAAAGTTCTAAAAGTTTTGCCATCACTACTATACCCTTTTGAGATTTCATTTTAGGTCAAGGAAAACATGTGGAATGGTGCCTGTTCTATTTTTGCATGGAGGCAGGGCTTGAATCCAGCTTGGCTGAGTGCCTTCTCTGAATCTCTGTTCTCTGCTGTCAGGCAGAATAACCACTGTATCATGGGATACGGCAAAATTGAAATATGGTCCTGGATAGAAAGCAGTAACTTTAGAGCCCAGCAGCCGCGTAAATTGCAGTTCTCTCTTCTTGGGTATCTTCTTTTCCCCAATTACCTTTCCGTGACTGATGGTCCTTTCCTGTGTGACTGGTCACAGCTTTTTGAATTTCAAGAGCAGAGGACTAGCTGTACCTTCTGACCAAACCAAGGGAAACATTACTGCTGCAGTAGATTTTGGTTTTGTTCTGTTTTTTTTGAGACAGGCTTTCACTATGGAGTTCTGGCTTGAAATGACTGTGTAGCCCAGGCTGGCTTGAACTTGGGGCAGTCCTTCTGCCTCACCACTCAAGTGCTAGGATTATAGGCATGCACCACCAGGCCATGCTTTGCAGTAAATTTTTCAAACACTATATTTTCTGGGGAGGATATTGGAGTAGAAACACTACCACAAAGGAAATCTCATGGCCCAGGTCCTAGTTTCAGCTCAACTGTCTGTTTATGGAAGGGCACTCAGAAGTCACTTCTCCCACAGAGCATACTGCTTCTGGTTTCTAATACTGGCACCAAGCACACCTCCCTGTAAATTGTTTACATGCTTTGGATTCAAGACCTTCTTGAATGTTTTCTTTTTTCCCTACAAAGGACTGAAGAAGCAGAGGGCATTCTGGATCCCCAGGATTCTGAAAAGTTAAACTTCAATGAGAAGTGCACTTGGAGCCCACTACTGACCCAACTCTGGGCAACGGCAGTTCTCGGGTCCCTCTCAGGTCAGGAGCTGCCAAAGCCCAGCACCATCAGGAGCAGCTGGGCTTCTGTCTGTGTCTGTGTGGGGTTTGCTGCTGGGTCACACTGGGCACTGGTGCTTTTGGGACGGTCACTTAGGCAACCAGTGATGCTGGAAGCAACCTGTTCAGGGCGGTAGGCTTTGGATGGGGAGGAGCTGGAACAGGTCCTTCCCATTTCCAGACCAGCCTGCTCTATGGTTGGTTAGGACTAATCGTGTTCCTATAAATCATGTTCTTCTTACCATCCTGCCCTTTCAGGGAAGCTTTTTATGATTTATTGGAAACATCAGGTTTCTCCTTAAGAAAATACAATTAACTGTCAACTAGAGGGCACCTGGACCAGGAAGAAGCTAGATTTGCCTCATTTATTTACTTAAGAAACACTGACTCAGGCTTACTGTGGGCCAGGCCCTGTGCTATACACTGGGGCAGCAGAGTGAACAGAGCCAGTCTCATACCTCCAAGAATTCCCACTTTGGGGGGCTGGGGATTTAGCTCAGCGGCAAAGCGCCTGCCTGGCAAGTGCAAAGTCATGAGTTCAATTCCTGGTACCGGAAGAAAAACGAAAAAAAAAAAAAAAAAAGCCCACTCTGCTGGGGATTCTCAGAGCAGGCTTCTCCCAGGCTGGATGGAAGCGTCCATACTCTCAGTGGTGGTCTTTGCACAATTCATGGAAAGGTTAAGTTAGTAAATTGAATCTTGTCTCAATTTTAACCACCCTCCCATATTATCCTTAAAATTTTGATATAAGCCATAACTTGTTCACACTAGATTATGGCATCAGATGTACCTGATTTGCCAGCAGCCTGTTCATTCAGCCATTGGAAATTGCATTGTCTCGTGCTTCCTAGCTGCAGAGCTCAGTCCCTAAAATAAATCAGATCTGAATGCCACAGAGACAGCCAGCCGGAAGGCAGTACAACCAGTGCTGGATGTGAGAACAAAATATGACCTTGCCACCAACTTGGTATGGAACCTTGAGCAACTCATTTCTCCTCTCTGGGCCTTATTTCTAACAAAATTTATAGGTAAAGATCTTGGACTAATAATAATTAGTGTTATCATGGCTACAGTTTATTGAAGGCTTACTTTATGCTGGGCACTTTACATGAATTGTTTCATTTAGTTCTCATGACCATGCTGTGATAAGTCCTATTTGATCCTCATTTTACAGATGAGGAAACTGAGGCTGAGAAAGTAACTGACTTATCTGAGGTCTTTCTGCCAATGAGCAGCAAGGAAACCTTTGCTACCTGGTGGGACCAGGTTAGGGCTGGGGAAGAGGGGCTGTGGACAACTCTGGTAATTCTTTCCAGCAGGCACAGAGGACGTACGAATTGATGAGAGGACCATCAGCCCCTTCTTGCAATTGTCAGATGATCGAAGGACCTTGACTTTCAATGCCAAGAAGACCAAGGCCGGTGCAGATGGCCCAGAGCGTTTTGACCACTGGCCCAATGCCCTGGCCGCCACCTCTTTCCAGACCGGGCTGCATGCCTGGATGGTGAATGTCCAGAACAGTTGTGCCTATAAAGTGGGTGTGGCCTCAGGCCAGCTGCCCCGCAAAGGCTCTGGCAGTGACTGCCGCCTGGGCCACAATGCCTTCTCCTGGGTCTTCTCCCGCTATGATCAGGAGTTCCGCTTCTCGCATAATGGGCAGCACCAGCCCCTGGGGCTGCTGCGGAGCCCGGCCCAACTGGCTGTGCTTCTGGACTTAGAGGCAAGAGAGTTGCTCTTCTGTGACCCAGCCTCTGGCACCGTGCTCTATACCTACCACACGGCCTTCCCCACACCTCTCTTCCCAGTCTTCGCTGTGGCTGACCAGACCATTTCCATTGTCCACTGACCTCTAGCCACAGAAAGATCAATTCCATCTCCCTACCACCCTTTCAGGTCAGGCCATGTTTCCAGCCAGTGTCCTTTTCCCAAGTGATTTGTGTGGTGTTTCTAAAGGAAAGAGGGCCCATGCTCGGTGGGCAGATTGAGGTGCCACGAGGATCTGTTTCAGACCTAGGCACAATCTTGAAATGCCAGCCATCTTTGGGAAACTTGCTGCTCCCTGGCCCTTTGTCCTCCAAATTCACCATGATTTTGCCCCTCCGGCATCCAGCATGGGTCCTGGGGCATAGTGAGTGTGCAATAATTATTAGGCAAGGAAAAAGAGGGCTGGATAGACAGGTGGGCAGATGTGGAAATGGTTCTCTGCAGAGAAGCCTATGGCTGAAGCTGCTTTATCCTCTTAGTTCAGTGTTTCTCAGTCTTTTTCACGACATGCACATAAGAAAAATACTTTTTCTAACACATAAAGACAACCTGAAAGGGATTTAGAACTATCAGGCTGCTCCTGGCCAGATTTTGGCCTGGCAGTGCTATATCCTTCTGTAGGTACTGCGCTACTACCCAGAAGACCGAGGGTCCCTATCTCCAGATAACCTGGCTGCAGCCCAGCCCTGGGCATCTGTGCCAGATGCTGAGGGCCAGCTGTGGCTATCTGAGATCATGGGAACTTCCTACTGTGGCTGTGCTCCCCACCATGGCCTCTCGGACCTAAAGTGGAGGCCTGAGTGAGGGCCTCCAGCCAGAAAGTGCTGAGGAGTATGAGGGCCAGCCTTAGGGAACATGGAACATGAACATTATTAAAGGGCTTAAGAGACTTATAGGTTTCTTGCGTGTTCTTTGTTGGTAATTAGCTATGCATTATATAGTGGCCCCAGTCTTCCTTAACCTCATGCACATGCTCAGAAATAAATGAATGGTAACTCAGTGAAGCAGGAAGAGCCTGGAGACCTTACTAGGACCAAGGGTAAGTCCCTTTGTATTTTTCTTTATACAGAGAACATCCAAGAATAGTGGTCCTCAAACTCTGTCCAGGAACACTCTTCAGAAGCAGCCTTACCAAGGCTGGAAGCGTTGCTCAGTGGTAGAGTGCCTAGCCCTGGATTTGATCCACAGCACTGAACACACACACACACACACACACACCCCTTAACTATAACCTCAAGTTCCCAGAGCCAAACAGGATGGAAAGAGCCCTCCCCACTCTCCTTGGTAGCCACAAAGCAGCTTGAAAACCACTACTTAGTCAGGTCTGTCACAGAGGAAGGCCGGCTGGGGTCAGTAGACAACGAGTAAAATAGTACAAGATTCAGAGCCAAGCACTATTTTGCATCAGCTATTTGTGGCCGTGTAAGAATATGGTCCCCGAATGGCCAGAAGCAAGATATTTAGAGAGGCTGAAAAATCCCAATCTTTATGTGAAATTTCTTTATTTTTGCAGTGCTGCGGTCAAGTCCAGCATTTGCTAAGCAAGCGCTACCACTGAGCTATGCCTCCAGACCTTCATATGAAATCTCTTTGACTGTTAGGTTTGTTCAGTATTTACTGGGTAGATCAAGTCCGTAGGCCTCTGATAGGCAATATTTTTGGTTGAGATGATCTCTGAGATGCTTGAAGCTCTGAGGCCACAGCTCATGACCTCTGCACTGCCTGACTCTGAGGAATTACTGGTAAGTCATCTGGCTTTGGAGTCAGGCCCAACAAAGACACAGAAAGATTTTGTCAGTCCCAGCCTTTGCCTGGACATGGCCTCTGCCTAGGTATCTAAATCAAAGCCAACCTCTTCTGCTTGTCACCTGAAGGCCCCCAAAGCCATGTCCCCCCGCAACCCAACGCCCTGCAGCAGACTGGAGTCCACAGTTCATAGGCCTGCTGTACGAATACCCCCCATCTCTCTGCCTCCCCAAATGTCACTCCAGCCCCATACCCAGCTCGGTGTCCTCTCCAGACCTTCCCCTGGCTCTTGCCACCAGAACAATATACCACATTTGTGGGTCACTATGCTTTTTAAATTATTATTATTAATTTGGTACTGAGGACTTGAACCCAGAGTCTTCTCAGCTACATTCCCAGCCCTTTCTTATTTTTAGATGGGGGTCTCACCAAGTCAGTAAATTACCCAGACAGGACTGGAACTTTCGATCCTCCCACCTCAGCCTCCCAGAGTGCTGGAAGAACGGGTGTGGGCCACCTCACCTAGCTCTGTCTAGGCTTTTAACCTATGGTATCCCCTGTGCCTCACACAGGGCAAGGCAGGGGTATTCAGTAAATACCAAGTAGATAGGTGAGATAAGGGAACAAGTGGAACTTTTAAAACCCAATTTGTTTTTTCAGCTTTCAACTGTTCCTCCCACAGCCCTGAGCTCCAGTCCATTTCTATTGCATTTCCTATCTCTATGTATCCCTATGACTGGGGGACCCTCCAGGGCACTGTTCCTATTCTCCCAGGATCTCCACTGCTCTGCCTCATGTGACATGGGTCCCTCTCTACTTGAAACCTAATGGCCAAGTCAATAGGCTTTTGAGTCAGGAATGCCTAAACTGCAATCCTGGTTCCCTCTCCTGCTGCGACCTCAGGCAGGCTACCTACCATTTGTAAGTTGGGGTCATACCACTCTGGCCACTAGGGAGCTCTGAGGGTTACATATGCAGATAAAGAAGTACCGTACCAAACACAGGGCAGGCTGTCCGCAGAGTTCCTTCCCTTTCAAACTAAAGCTTGCTAGTATACAGTGTCCCTCTGCACAGCTTAGCACTTTGACTGCCAAACTAAGCTCTGGTGTCTCAGGCTGAATGAGAGGCCTTAGGACTTCTGCTTCAGCTTCTCTAGGTTCTTTATTTTGATAGCGGGGGTTTCAGAATCCCAATGACAATGCTACTAAAAGGTCAAAAAGGCCTGTTTTTTGTTTTCCACTGCTAGTGTTCAAATTCAGGGTTTCACCATGCTAGGCAAGCACTCTCCCACTGAGGTGCATACCTAGCCCTCAAAAGTGAACATGGGTGGAGGTGTGGGAGGCTCATGGTAGGAAAGGGCCATAGGTGTGAGAATGAGTGAGCTCAGAGACCTGTTGCTGGCGAGTGGGGGAAGACCCAATGCTCAGCCCTCACTCCTTTATAGTCAGAACAAGTTACACAGGGGCTGGGGATTTAGCTCAGCGGCACAGTGCCTGCCTGGCAAGCACAAGGTTGTGAGTTCGGTTCCCGGTACCGGAAAAACAAAAAAACAAAACAAAAAAGAACAAGTTACACAGCTGCACAGGGAGGAGCCCAGTCCATATCTAGGAGAAAGGAGGGGCCCCCTATCTCCAGCGTTTGTTTAGGCCCAGTGAACTTCTTCACCAGACTCACAGCCCAGGGGCTGAACCCTGGTCAAGGGCAGGCAGGAGATGGGAGAGTGAGGGAAGAATATATTCTTTAGGTACAGAATCCCTGATCATGGGGTCCAGAGGCTCTGAACCAACTACCAGAAAACTGTGCATGCCCACAGCCCGAGCTCCCTGGTAATCACAGCGGTAACTGTCCCCAATATGGGCTGCCGCTGCTGGTTCCATATGAGCAAGCTGTAAGGCCTTGTGGAAAATGCGGGGGTCTGGCTTGGGCCAGCCGGCAGCCTCGGAGGTCAGTACAAAGTCGAAATGTTCCCGTAGGCCCAGACCCACCAGGATATCCTCTAGCCGCCGGTCAAAGTTTGAGATCACTGCCAGCTGCAGACCCCGCTTTCGGCACCTCCTCAGTGTGGTCTCAGCCCCCTCTAACACCTGCCAAGTGCAGGGGCTGCTGAAGTCCTTGTAGAGCTGGTCAGCAATGGCGGCTACTGCCTGGGCATCTCGGACACCTGCCAATTGGAAGGTCTGCAGGACCACATCCTGCCACCACTGTTGGGAGGTGAGGCCATGACTCAGGCCATAGGTGGGGAACCTGTGGTTCTGAGCCTTGTACACTTGCCCAAAGGCTTGTTCCAGGGCTGTGGCCTCCACTTTCAACCCATGGGCCCAGGCCTTAGCAGCATATTCCTCCCCTATGGGGCGGCGGAGCCTGAGGAGTGTGTCCTTCACGTCCCATGTCAGTAGACGGAGTGGCAGCCGGTGTGCCATGCAGAAGGCCAAGTGTGCCCCAAGTCCGTGGTGCAGAGAGTTACTGAGTAGGACACCACCACCCTTGCAGACTTAACAGTCTTCTTTTTCCAGGCCCTGTGGGTCAGAATTGCTGGTTAACAGGAGGCACTTTGGAAACTTCTTCACAGCACAAGATCCTGGAATGAGAAACAGCAGGTGATGTGGAAGTTGAGGTCCTGGTGCCAGAGAGACTGGGTTCAAATTCTATTGCTGCCAACTCTGTGACCCTAGGAGAGTCACTCTGAGCGCCCGTCTCATGGGTAAGAGGAGCACAATGGCACCAATCTCACAAGATCTTGGGCTACATAAGATCATTCTTCCACTCCAAAAGAAAATTTCTGATCTAGATGCTGAGAAGAACAGGACAGGTTTCTGGTCCTTGCTGCATTTACAGGCATTGAAGGACAGGGACAGTGATATTAGACAAAGACCTACACAAAAAATTAAGCATAATGAAGTCAGCATGTATCATAAGGATACAAATCCTGGGACTTTCTTAAACAAGTGAGGTTTAGTGGAGATTTAAAGAACGAATATGCAGGAAGTGGAGGTGGATAAGCGTTTCTGGTAGAAATATCAAGTGCAAAGGTCTTGGCGCTTTGGGTACATAGTCCAGCTCGGGCAGGGCCTTGTAGGTCAAGGTAGGGAAATAATTATGATGACTACTATTACTATTTGTAGCAATGTCAAAAGGCAGAAGGCCCTTTGCAGACCATGTCCAGCAGGGAAAACCGAGCCAGAGAGGGGTGGTCACTTATCTCAGGTCACACTGAGCCAGCACACCCAGCCAGGCCTAGAACCTAAACTTCCAGGCTCTGGTGAATGCTGCCTTCCATCGCACCATGCCTAGACATCGTTATGGCTTGTGTCTTGTCCCGCCAAAGCCTCATGCAGTCATAGGTGGGGCTTTTCCACAGGTGTCTAGATCTAGAGTGTGTGATGCTGGGGTTAAGGGTGTGTGCTTACTAAAATCAGTCCACTGATTAGTTTGGCACCATCCTAATGCCAGTAGCCTAGATGCAATATAAAAGGGGCAGAAAGATGCTGTTAAGGTCCCTCGCTTGCTTGCTTGCTTTGCTACCTTCTGCTCACCATGAAGTTTCTCTTTTGCGATGCCTGTCTGCCATGCCACCCTGCCTTAGAGCCAGCCAATTAGGGACTTAAACCTCTACAAACTGTGAGCTGAATAACTCTTTCCTCTCTTAACCTTGTGGGTGTGGGGTATTTTGTCCCAGCAAGGAGAAAAGGAACTAAGACCTATTCTGGTGAACCTGTACAGCCCAGGACAGGACAAAGCAACCTGTTCCTATTTCTATCTATCCCACTCCGAGTCTCAGCTTTTTCAAATTTCTTGGAGGTAAGCTTTTTTCCCCAGAGAGAGCAGATTCCCGACAAGGCTCAGCTGCTGAACCTAAGGGGCCAGAGTTAAAAGTGCAGTCATGGTATTGCCAAGAGTCGGGCGAGGCTGGTGACTGGGCACAAGCCTCCTCGGAAGTGTGAGAAGGAAATGAATTTGCTTTAGCCTGGAATTTAGGAAGTCCCATTCAAAGAGCCTCTCGGTTTGCAGGTGGGTAGACGGAGGCCCAAAGGCCGCTGTCTCCCGCCCCACAGCATTTGCTATTTCTGGAAGCCAGGTTTGGGGGCTCCGCAGGCCGGGAGAGCTCACCCTTCTCTCTTCCTGTGGGGCTCGGTGGAGCAACGTCCAGCTAAACCCGCTGTTAAAGCAAATCCTCCCCAGCTGCTCTCTGCAGCGCGCCCAGGAAGCGACAGTCCCAGGAGCCGCGCTGGGCCCGGCTTCCAGGTCCCCTTCGGTGTCGCAGCGCGCTCCTGTGGCCCAGCGGCGATTCCGGACCCAGCACCCACCTGGCTCTCGGAGAAGCCGACAGCGGAGAAGACCGCAGCAGCGCGCACGGGGCGGACTCTGGATCACGATCTCCGCTCCTGGGGCGCGCACGCACTGGGCGGACTCTGGATCACGATCTCCGCTCCTCCTCCTCGCCCCGCCCTCTGCTTCTCTTCTTCCCGCTCTCGCAGCTGCACAGCCGCAGGCGGCTGCGCCCACAGCCCCACCTCGCGTGTCACTGTCACTGTGCGCCCTCGCCGCGCCTCTCCGATCTCGCCCATCTTCACCGCACCCTGCCTGTTCCCCATCCCCCACCCCGCACGCCTCCGCTCCCTCGGCTTGGGACGCCCCGCAGGTACTTAGACTAATTTGAAAGTGAGGGGCTTGGGGCCCAGCCTGACTTGCTGAGTGCTGTGAGCTCTTCAGCAGGGTGCTGCCCCTCTCTGGTTTGAGGGTCTCTGATCTCTACAAAGAGGACGTTACTTTCAGCTGGACACTTGTGGCACCCAAGACAGTTTACTGAGGATAGTGTCCTCTGCAGTAACCCGGCTGTTTTTTTGTTTGTTTGTTTTGTTTTTTTTGTTGTTGTTGGTGTTTGTTTTTTTAAATCTTTTGCTTGGGGGCGGGGGGAACTTTTGTTTTTGTAAAAATAATGCAGGCTCATTTAAAAAAACTTAAAAAAAAAAATACCAATATGTCCAAAGTAAAAGGCCAGAGTGTCTCCCCCAATCTCATTGATTAGTAAGCATGTGTGCCCTGTGCCTGACCCAGTCCTTCACTGAGGGCACTGCGGGCAAACAAGAGCTTCCTGCAATGCCAGGCTATTGTGGATCCTTGCTTTAGTTAAAACTAAAGCAACAGTATGAATTTACAGGGAAAAGCTGTAATTGGAAAGAAAAAATGAGGGGGAACACAGCTCTGGCAAAGTTCAAGCCAGCTCCTTAATAAAAAGCTGGTTAGGGGAAAGGCTCCAGTTTCAGAAATTGAAGGCACAAGTCTGAAGTGGGTCCTACTGCCCCATTCACAAAAGAACAGAGACCAGTTTTATGGTGTGCTGTGGTTGGCAGGGGTCTGGTTGAGCTTTATTTCAATTCTAGCTCTGGAGGACTCCTCTTGACTTGGAAGGCGGTTTGGTTTCCATGGGATGACTGTCATTGTTGTGGGTGGTCTCAGTCATATGCGACCATGCTGGAATCCAAGGTGACCTAAACCTACGGCAATGGCAATTTCTGAGCACAGTTGAATGTCCATGTAAATCTCTTGTCCTGGTGTTGCCTATCTTGAAGGGTACTGAGATAGGTTAGGTAAGTTTAAGGCTAATAAAACTTCTTTTGCCAACCTTTAGATAGGCATTCCCTAACCTGCTCTCATGGAGATCCAAGAAGGATCTGACCCATAGTTTCACAAAATGAAGGTCAAGCTTTATCCTACTTTTACTTACATACTGGGTATCTGTAGACCCAAGTGAAGAGTTACAATTTTTAAGCAAAAACTGCTTTTAAGTCCCTGATTCCTTCAGAAGAAAACACAAATCATGCTTTTAGTTAGTAAAAGGTTAACAGCCCAAGAATTTGTCCTCTGTCTTTGGTGAGCTCTGTGACACTCACTGGCAGTGCAGAACATGGAGGAACACAAAATCAAGTCCATAAACGGGCTGATTCCAGATCGGTAAGACTGTGGAAGTACAGGAGTGGGGACAGGTGGGGAGGAAAGGAGGCTTCCCCACCTCCAGTAGATTTCACTTTCGACCCCTCCACCCAGCTAAAACAAGACCCTTCTGTATTCCAAGGATGGCCTGTTCATTTCATTCAGAACCAACTCCCCGTGGCTGGGCTGAGGCCTGGGAGGGGACAAAGTGCAAAGTCACAGACCTGGTGCCCTGTGAGTCACAGCTTGTGAGAGGCCAGAGCCATGGGTCATAAAAGAATTTACCAATAGTGAAGGAATACAGAAAAGTAGGAGTTTATTGATACACTCAAGAGAGCATCTGGTGAAAGGATCATGCTGTCAGGGCAAAAGGCTGAGATTTTTATAGGAGGACATGAAAAGGGCTTGGGGGGATCAAAACAAGCATCAGGAAGGCTTTCTTCAGGTCAGCTCGCACTGTTTATCTCGCAGAGCACCCGTATTATGTTAATAGTTACACATTAGACAAGCCAATTTGACATGAGCCAGTCCTTTTGTTCTCACAGAGGGTCCTTAGGGCTCGGAGAAAGGACATGTGGGCACATCAACTCCAAGAAAAGGGCCACAGGTCACTGGGAGGAAATGTGTGTGTCATCCCATATTTCAAAGGCATGCTTATTACTTTCATGTGCAGAATATTATGGTTGCTTAATACGTGTCAGTTTAGAGCATCCTGAGGGGGCGAGCGTCTAGATTGATTGTAACCGTGCTGTCGTTGCTCTGCCTGTTCAGCCTCCACACCTGGGGGAGAACCTGATTCTCGGGGACTCACTTGCAAAACCTTTGTGTCACAAGCATGACTCCCAGAGTGGAGGGGATAAGGGCTGACTGGAAGGTCAGAGTGTCACAGAATCCAAGAATGCCTGCAGTTGTCCACTTTTCAGGGCCACCTAAAACCTACCCCCGTTCAACTCTTTAGCTCTGTGCTTCGGTCTTGTAATATGCAAAATGGGAAGATTGGGGAAAAACAACTTCCAGCTAAAGTCCAGTCTAGCTTTTAAGTTGATTTCCAAGATCATTAACTGGGCCCATGGAACCCCAGTTTTTCTATGTTAAATGGGGCATAATGCAAGAAATACATCAGGATCAAATGAGACCCCATGGAAAGGTTCTTTGACAAATTTTTTAAAAGTGATTTTTTTTTTCAGATAAGACAAATATGAGGCCCCTAAAAGGTTAGGTTTTGTTCCAGGTCACCTCTTTCAACAACTGCATTTCACACTTTCAGCAAGAGAGTATTTCCATTTCAACATGAATGCAGCCCATGGGGCTGTGGCCCTGATGTAGCTGTCCTCTAGGATCTGCTTTTCATTTTCTCTAGGTAACTTTTCAGCACCTGAGACTTGTGTGTCACAGGAAAGCCAGTGACAGGTCCCTGACCCTGGCACAAGCTTCTATTTGACTTGCAAGTTCAAACCTGACTATACTTAATGGATATCGTTTCCTGTCAATTAGATGACAGAAATCATCTGATGACTTTATCCCTTGACCTTGCTGGGGCTTTGATCTGGTGATTGCTTCTGTTTCTTTTTTTTTTTTTTTTGGACACAGGGTCTTGATATGCAGTTCAGGTTGGCTCTGAGCTCACTTTGTAGCACAGGCTGGTCTCGAACTTGCAACGATCCTCCTGCCTCAGCCTCCCAAGTGCTGGGATTACAGCTGTGCACCACCACGCCTGGCTGGTGATTGCTTCTGTCATATTACTGTACTGGATGTAGGTTTAAGTTATTTTTCTTCGGGGAACAAAATTTCTTTTTTTTTAAAAATTAAAAAAAATTTTCTTTTCTTTTTAGACAGGGTCTTGCTATGTAGTTCAGGCTGGGCTTGAACTCACTATGTAGTCCAGGCTTGACATGAACTTCAGTGATCCTTCTGCCTCAGTCTCTTGAGTGCCTGGATTACAGGCATGTGCCACAACGCCCAGCAGAATTTCCTTTTTTTAAATCTCCTATTGAAAGCACTGAGTAAGTCCAAGCTGGCTTAGACCTATATGTCTTTCTACTGTTAATTTTTCATTTACTTAGCTTTTTAACTTTTAATTAAAACACACAGAGAAAAACAGAAAGAAATGTACATGTCCTTGAAGTTTTACACAATGAAAATATCCTTGTAACTGCATCCAGACCAAGAAAATTTCTAGAACCCAAGTGTGTCTGATTTCACATTCTTATCACAAATGGTATCTACCTGTCTCTCTCTCCCTCCTTTTCTTTTTCCTTTCTTTTTTTCTTCTTTTGAGCTAGGAAAGGAACCCAGAGCCTTGTGGATACTAGGAAAGTGCTCTGTCACACAGCTAAATCCCTCAGCCCTATCCCAACTTCACCATGTAATTTTACTTGTTTAGGAACTGTATATGAATGGAATAAGATAGCATTCAGTCTTCTGTGTCTTTTTTGTTTGTTTTTGTCTTTTTGAGACAGGGTATCACTATGCAGTTCAGGCTGGCCTTGAGCTCACTTTGTAGCCTAGGCTGGCCTTGAACTCACAACGATCCTCCTGCCTCAGCCTCTAGAGTGCTGGGATTACAGGTGTGCACCACTACACCCAGCTTGTGTGTCTGCTTTTGCTCAAAATTTCGTTGGTAAGATTCATCTGCATTGCTGTGTGTAGTTGTAATTCATTCATTCTCGTATCTGTAATATTCCATTATCTGAACTGATCACATGTTACTATTGATGGGCACTTGGGTTATCTCCAGTTTTGGGTTATTATATATTACAAAATGTTATGAACATTTTTTTTTTTTTTTAAAGACAGGATTTTCCTAACTTTTGCTGGCTGGGCTCAAGCTTGAGATCTTTCTCCTTCAGTCTCCCAAGTGCTAGGATTGTAGGGATACACCACTACAACCACAACCACAACCACAACCACAACAACCACAACCAGCTTGAACATTTTTTTCTTAGGTTGGTCTCCAACTCCTGGGCCCAGTGATTCTCCCTTTTCAGCAGTAGCGGGGATTACAGGCATGCATGCATGAACATTCCTGAATAAGTCTCTTGGCAAACATAAGTATACATTTCTGATGAATACCTAGATGTGAAATCGGGAAGTCAGAAATATGCACTTGTTTCCTTTTGTAGATAGGGGCAGTAATCTCAGAGTTCTAATTGCTCACCATTCTCAATAATTAGCATTGCCTTTTAAATTTTAGGTACTCTGACAAAGGTACACTGGTGCTTTGTTGTAGTTTCTTTTGTGTGTGTGCTGGGGCTTGAACCCAATCTCATACATGCTAAGCATACACACTGGGTTACACTTCTAGCCTTCTATTTATTTTGAGACTTACTACGTCAGGCTCAAACTTGTGATTTTTCTGCCTCAGCCTTCCGAGTAGCTAGGACTTCAGGCATATGCCACTATGCTTGGCTATAATTTTCTTCTTTTTTTTTTGGTGTGGGAGATTAAACCCAAGGTCTCATGCATATTAGACAAGTGCTCTACCACTGAGTTACATCTCCAGCTTTGCCTATGATTTTAATTTTTCCACTGACTAATAAAGATAACACTTTTTCCTATGCACTGGCCAAGTTATTTATGTTATTTAAACAAATATATAATTTTACCCGTGCTGTATATATTACATGATTAAAGATAAAACAAATAAGGGTAAGGT